AGAAGACAGTGATGGTGTTAGAACTAGTGGTGCTAAGTGACAGCAACATCAGGAAGAAGGTGTATGAGAAGTTGGAGAAGTACCAGGGCCCGAAGGAGGAACTAGAGAGGATGTGGAAAGTAAAGGCCAAAGTGGTCCCAGTGGTGGTAGGAGCACTTAGGGCTGTGACTCCTAAGCTGGGAGAATGGCTCCAACAGATACCAGGAACAACATCAGAGCTCTCTGTCCAGAAGAGCACAGTGCTAGGAACAGCTAAGATTCCCTCAAATTCCCAGGCCTCTGGTAGAGGACCCAAGATTGAGTAGACACATACCACCCATAGGGGTGAGAGGGGATTTTTTTTTTAATGTATGCATGTATTTCATTACTTAGCTATTTTTTGTCTGAAGCACTATAGTCCACCTGTTAAGATTCCTTCATTATGCAGCCAAAAGCTTGGGAGCTGCATTTATATAGTCAAATGGTACACCTCCATGCATAAAAATCCAAATGCACAGAAAGGAACGACAGTTGGTGCCCCTCCAATATGATCATGATAAAACATTGGGTTCACAACACATGAATCTAGTGCCTGTGTTGGTAATCATATATACAGATGGAGTCTTATATAATTCTTCCTCTGGAGAAATCCACTATAAGTTAGGAAACAGTTCCTGTAAATTTCTAGAAATGTGATACCGTGCATATTTTCACATTCTTATATTTCACATGGCAATCATATTTTACCAGGTTCCACCATTCTAAAATGGAGTAAACACTGGCTTCTGGGACAGCAACGGTGGACTGAAAATGGCTCTGCTTTCACAGAGCTGACCACCGTGGCAAAAAGAGGAGCCGGTGAAGGGAATCCCTCTCCGGATAAAGGAGAGGACAAAGATTGCCGACAGGCCGCACACAGAATCTCCCTGTGAAGAGATTGAAAAATAGCAATCTCCAGCAGGTTTGAGAGTTCTGGGAGCCGAGGGAAAAACATCCTGACCAAGCCTCAGTTCAGCGCCTTTCAAAGGGACACTGGGTCCGCCTTCTTCCTCCTATAAAACTTTTTATATTCCTATAAAACTTTAGGAATTTGCTTTTTATGGATTACTCAGAAGTTAAGAACCTCCTGAAGGGCAAGTTTTATTACACTGGGAGAATCTTCTTCTACCTTGGATGAAAGAAAACTACGTGTAAGTCTAAAGATTAAAAAGAAAATATTTACTTTTTGAACAGCAAAAGGTTTTGAAAAGTTAAGGGGCTAGATGGAGTTGAAAGAATATTTCCTGTGGGGTGTTTAAAAACTACCAAAAAAATGAATATTTGGAAATTAATTGTAAGAAATCCTCCCATGGGAAAGTTTTCTTGTCTGGAAAATAAACAGACAATAAGGGGGACTTGACTGAAGGAACAGAGAGAACAACTGATTACATTTAAAGGGGAAGAGACCCATTAATACAATGGAGCAATACTATATGACTATAGAAAAGTTTAAGGCGGTTTGGGAGTAATGTATGCAGAAAAGACCATCTGACACTTTAATAGACCACATAGCAGAACAACAGATTTCATTGGAGAAAATGATAAGGAATCAACGTGTGGGACATTATTTGTCAGGATTAAAGATTAAATTTATACACAATTCCTAAAAACGTCATCCTTCAGTCCTGATCAAAAAGAAATCCCATTTATATCTACCAGAAACCACAACTTGTATTTTAACCATAGTCAAATAGATTCACTTTAAAAAGAAGGTTTATAAAGTGAATCTATCTGACTATGGTTAAAATACAAGTTGTGTTTTCTGGTAGATATAAATGGGATTTCTTTTTGATCAGGACTGAAGGACAAAGTTTTTAGGAATTGTGTATAAGTGGCGAGAGATATCTTTTGCTTTACGTTTTAGAGAAAGTGATAAACTGGACTATAAAATGGATTTCTTTGATTAAGATTAAAACACCTTTGTTATTATTTCTGGTAGCCCTCAATGGACTTCTGCTGATTAGGATTGAAAGATTTTTACAGTTTGATTATTGATAAGAGATGAGATATGGGAAGAAGAAAATTCTTTTATGAAATATCAGAGAAGCTTTTAAATTACTAAAGCTGTTTATACGTGTCTGGAGGGAGGGGGGAGTCATTTTTTATATCTTCTTTTTTCTTTCTTTCTTGTCTCTATCTCTTTGCACTTCTCTTTTTTCTTTTTTTACTCTTTATAATTTCTTTCTTTCTTTCTTTCTTTCTTTCTTTCTTTCTTTCTTTCTTTCTTTCTTTCTTTCTTTCTTTCTTT